ACATCTCTTTCTCTAATTTTCGACCCTCACCTTGGCCTGTCAGACAATGTTGAACTTCCTTTCCCCTAGCTTTCTCAGGTGCAGATTTTTTTTTGGAAAGCCAAGCTTTCTCATTGAAGAAAAGGTCAACCAAAGAAAGGAGTTGAGTCTGGCAGAGTGGGAAATCTTCTACTGCTAATGGTTAACACAGTAAAGAGTCAAATGATGTTGATCATGTCGTTGTTATAATTATCAACATTACAACTCATGCAACGGATGCGGGCTTCCTGTGGAAGAGACTTTGAAGCTGAGAGTCAAAGCTGAGAGATTTCCCAGGTAAAGGAAAGGGGCAGAGGGTGCCTGGCATTCAGGACCAGTGACATGTAGGCCCCAGTACTAAACGAAAACAGGGGCTCCTTGTTCAAAAGGTATTAAGAATTTCAAGACCACAAGCACAGGGCATTAAACCAAACACAGGGCCCTTCTGAGTGTGAGGTCCTGTGCACAAATTGCACATGCACGAAACTAGCCCTGCCCGGTGGGGGAGAGTGCTGGCATGGTTGCTTAATAGGGCCAAAGGCAAACTGGCAAAAAGAAGTCTGTAATCTGGCCGGGCGCGGTGGCTCAAGCCTGTAATCCCAGCACTTTGGGAGGCCGAGACAGGCGGATCACGAGGTCAGGAGATCGAGACCTCCTGGCGCTCTCCCACAATCTCCAGAATTGGCACACTAATATATCTCCATCACAGCATTGTAATCCCAGCCACTTTCCTGGAGCTGAAAACAGCGAGGAACGCTGGAGCCCCAGGAGTTGCCAAGAACCCAGTCTGGGCAGACATAGCGAGACCCTATCTCTACAAACCAAAAACCAAATATGAACACGCATTCGTATCAATCTTTTTCTCAACTATATCCCCCTGGATGAGAGTGCTCCCCTACGAATGACCTCAGAGACCCTGTTAAGAATGCTGATTTTGGATCAGTAGGTCTAGAGTGGGGGCGTGGAAGGTGTCTGGCATTTCTACCCAGCTTGGGGTTTGATTTCACTGGTCCAGGCGACCCCCTCTCCCTTTGAGCAACAGGAATAAACTAACTCAAGTGGTTCAGGATTCTACACTCATCCCTATTTGACCTTGGAAATGTCTTTAAACTGGAACATCAAGTATATCTTAGTTTATGAAGTTAGTTGTCAAACAATCCTACAATAGTCACACTGAAACATCCATTGGGCGCGGGGAAGGACAGCTAATGGGAGGGTGTTCTACAGTCTGCCTCACCCAGCAAAGATTTATTCAAATTTGCTATGTGTTACGAAACTGTCGCCAGGCCTGATCCTCTTGCTTGAACAAAAATTTCTCTTTCCTCTCATTCTAATACATAAGGTATAAGCTTTCAGACCTCACACACGGAAAATCACCACGATTAGCAAGCAGGGTGACTGCTCTCTCCCTGGGATCTGCTCACAACCCTGCCTAGACCAATGTTTAGTCCAAAAAAAACCCTGGAGAGCAGGGGGTGGAGCAAAGCACAGAAACTTCCAGCCTTCGCTTGAGTTTGCAGAACCAACAGTTCTCTTGGCTGGGTTATCAAAGGGCAAATGAAACAGGCAAGGGCAAACTAACTGGAAGTTTTCCTGGCACTTTTGGGTAACCACTTAGTGCAACCAGACAGCTGCGTTGGAACAGCCTTGAGTTCGGAGTCTTTTCTGGGAAAGAAAATTTTCATTTGCAGAGGGAATGGCTACGAGACAAGGAATTCGAGGTCAGGATGGGGGTGAAGAATTGAAACAAGCCCTGGTCTGATGTGTGATGTGTGTGTGTAAAATAAAGCCAGGCTGGACTTACGCTCTGCAGAACAGCATTGTCACTGTGTGGAAAGTGGTAGGGACACTGGGGAAGCCGTTTCCACCTGGAAACAGCAAGGTTCCTGATAGTGCCACCTCTACCCTCATTTTTCATGTGTACTCATTGATTTCTTCACTGATCAGGCCAGCAGCTGTGTGCCAAACACCGTAGGGGTAATCTAAAAGGGATTTAATTAATAAGCCACGAGTGGCACTTTTCCAAAAGCGTGCCATCTTGGGAGCAAGGCTGTCACATCTCAGCGGGAGGAGGTTCTGTGGAAACCCGGAGGTGCCATTTTCACACTCCTGAGCAGATTCCTACAAGATTTCCTAGCTCAAAGTACAGCTTGGGTTTATTTGGCAGAGGGAACACATAGTAAGGGTTCCAGAGGCACGTTCTGAGCAAGAGCAGGCGTTCTGAGGGGAGATGCCTGTCAGAGGATATGTGAAAAGGTTTCAAATCCATGCTGTGCCATTTCTCCTGTCGACTGCTGGTTTTCCAAAATACATTTCTCATGGAGCAACATCCCCCCACAGGAGTCATTTGAAATTCCGTTGTGTGTAAACGCTATATTGGAATCTCTCCTAGGTTTGGTAATTGAGGTAGCTCACGCCTGTCATCCCAGCACTTTGAGAGGCCAAGGGCCGAGAGGTACTCGCTTGAACTCAGCAGTTCGAGCTAGCCTGGGCAACGCTAGGTGAGACCCACCCCTCAAAAAAATTTTTTAATTCTAGCTGGGGGTGTTTGGGTTTGGTGGCTGTTGGCCTGCATCTTTCCAGCTACTTGGGAAGGATGAGGGCAGGAGGACCACATTGAGCCAGGAGTTCCAGGCCAGCATGAGCCGTGATTCAGACTCTACCACTGCCAGCGTGGACAACAGAGAAAGACCCTTGATAAATAATGCGTAGATAATAATTAATATCTTTCCTTGTCCCTGGTCATTCAAGAATACACATCAGCTCTTTAAAAGACTCTATGAAGTCTCACACTAAAGAAAGCCTCTGCTGGCCTGATGCGGATTCTGTAGCTGATATGATTCAGGAAATCAGGCCTCCTTCACTGGCTGGTAGAAACTATAAAGGTCAACACACCTGGACTGAATGGGGAGAGTTTTTTCCCTATGCAATCCAAGCAGGGTTTTAAGCCCTTAAGGGCGTGAAAGGTTTCCTTCCTCTGTGAAGCTAAAGCAGCAGCCTGCAGCTCCACCCTGCCGTGTCTGTTACAAATCCAGCTGCCCCTCCTCCTCCTGGCAGGGGACCCGCTCTGCCCGTCGTGGGAGCCCACGGTCCATGGCCTTGTGAAAAATGACTTGGTTTCTGAAAGCCAAGCTTTCTCATTGAAGAAAAGGTCAACCAAAGAAAGGAGTTGAGTCTGGCAGAGTGGGAAATCTTCTACTGCTAATGGTATCATTTTTACATCTCTATCTTCCTCTACAGGAGCTCCCTGAAAGGCTGAAATGTCAGCCTGTCAACGTTTCCTGTGTGCCTGAGCCCTCTCTCCTTGGTGGGACGCGGGGCCAGCGCGGCCTGCTCCGTCAGACAGGGTGGCTGGCTTAATCCCACCCGCCGCTGGGGGCACCCGGGTCGCTTCACACCAACTTCTGAGCTCCTCAAACTGGGAATGTCACGCGTGGGCAGGGGCAGCTTCCTTCTCTGAGCACATTGGAAACAAGTTCCGGTCATTGGCATCAGGACTGCCTCGAGGCTTTTCAAATTCAGACAACGTCTGGTCTCTGCAGAGAAAAATAACTAATTCACACTGTGACCTCCCAGAAAGATCACCGCTTGGTCCTGAAGCACTCGCTTGCCAGCAGGTGTTAATGCCAGGTCAAAAGAGAGCCCCTGTCTAACGGTCCCCACCTCTGGAACGGAAAAAGCTGAGCTGGGTCAAAGGAGCCTGACTTCCGGGCAGCCCCGGGTAGACTTCTTTCAGGAATCGGCCTCCTTCTCCACCTCCACTTAACCTCTTTCTTTAGACCCTCGCAGAAAAGCTGGAGTCAGGCAGCAGAGGCTCGGATGGCTGTTCCTGGGCAGGGTGAGGCCAGAGAGGGAAGGCAGCCCTGCACCGTCTCGGAGACCCTTTCTCAGCCCTTAGCTACCTTCAAGCTCCAGCTGCAGTGGGCTCTCTCCACACCAAGAGAAGACATCTCTCCAACCTCCTCCCTACATCTTCTTGAGAACCAGACACCCCTCTCAGAGTTAGGGGTGCGTCTGCCCATCCTTCTCTCCACAGATTATGATCTCTCTCAGGACACTGCCTTATGCCCGGAACTCCTGTCCAGGGGAGGCTTTTCAATAAATGTTGAGGGAACAAATAAATGGGGACCAGCCCCATCCTCAGCACTACCTAGTCCTGGTCCTACTCTTGTCTCCACATCACATTTCTGAACATCTCTTTCTCTAATTTTCGACCCTCACCTTGGCCTGTCAGACAATGTTGAACTTCCTTTCCCCTAGCTTTCTCAGGTGCAGATTTTTTTTTGCTACCTAGCATTTACAGAAATTACAAATCTTCCTCCTTTCGCAATTTGGTCTCTGTCTCAGCCGGGAATGTTGGGCTGCTGCTTTGACCCATTGTTCTCACAAACTGACAGCCATCACCAAGGCCATTGCCCTTGCCCAAGAAGAAAAATAGGGCAACACCCTTTGTGTTCTTAGACTGATTATTCCAGATTCATTCAAAGGACATGAATTCAATGACGTCAAGCTCTCCTCTACCCAAGCAATGGGAAATGGAGGTTTCCCTGCTTGTGACCCACCTTGCATGTGACATGTGCCACCCGCTGCCTCGAGGATTGAATCTGGAGCTGCAGAACATCTCTCCAACAGGATCACCATTGCAGAAACTCACTATCCTTTTCATGTTGGATAGATGTAGGGGGTTGAGTAGCATCCTTGCCCACCCCATCCCCAAAGTCATGTCCTTCCCAGAACCTCAGAATGTGACCTTATTTGGAAATCACGTCATTACAGATGGAATTTCTTAAATGAGGTCACACTGGAGCAGGGGAGGCCCTCAATCCACTGTTACTGGTATCTCATAAGAAGATGACAAAAGACAGAGACACACAGGGGGAATACCATGTGATGCTGGAGACAGAGGTTAGAGAGATGCGTCTATCAGCCAAGGAACTCCAAGGATTGCCAGCAAACCCAGAAGCCAGGGGAGAGGCATGGAACAGACCCTCCCTCAGATCCTGCAGAAGGAGCCAACCCTGCCAGCAACTTGATTTCAGTCTTCCAGCCCCCGGAACTGTGAGACAATCCATTTCTGTCATCGGAAGCTCTTGGTTCATGGTCATTTGTTATGGCAGCCCTAGGAATCTAACACAATGGAATAAGGAATCTTGTATTTGAGATCTTTTTCAAATATTTTCATTTTAAAAAATCTTAACTTTATTGAATTTTACTAAATGGGTCTTTTTATCCTTAACCTCTAATTAGTATAATTTTTTCGCCTGTCACTTGGATGTGAATCTATCCATCCTCTCTCACAATCTCCAGAATTGGCACACTAAATATATTCCACTCAACAGCATTGTAATCCCAGCACTTTGGGAGGCTGAAACAGGAGGAACGCTGGAGCCCAGGAGTGCAAGACCAGTCTGGGCAACATAGCGAGACCCTATCTCTACAAAACAAAAACCAAATATGAACAGCATTCAGTATAATCTTTTCTCAACTATATTCCCCCTGGATGAGAGTGGTCCCTACGAATGACCTCGAGACCCTGTTAAAATGCTGATTTGGATTCAGTAGGTCTAGAGTGGGGTGGAAGGTTCTGGCATTTCTACCAGGCTCTGGGGGGTATTGATGTCACTGGTCCAGGGACCCCCTCTCCTTTGAGCAACAAGGAGATAAACTACTCAAAGTGTTCAGTGATCTACACTCATCCCTATTTGACTTTGGAAATGTCTTTAAACTGGAACACAAGTATATCTTATGTTTATGAAGTTAGTGTCAAACAACCTGACAAAGTCACACTGAAACATCCCACCTGGGGAGGAGCTATGGAGGCTGTTTCTACAGTCCTGCCCTCACTCAGCAAAGATTTATTCAAGATTTGCTATGTGTTAGAAACTGTGCTAGGCTGATGTCTTGCTTGAAAACAATTTCTCTCTCCTCTCATCCTAATAATGAATGGTATAACCTTTCAGACTCACACAGAAATCACCAACTGATAGCAGCAGGGTGACTGCTCTCTCCCTGGGATCTGCTCACAACCCTGCTAGACAATGTATTGGCTCCAAAAACACCTGGAGAGCAGGGGTGGAGGAAAGTCACAGAAACTTCCAGCCTTGGCTGAGTTGAAGAAACCAAAGTTCTTGGCTGGGTTAATAAAGGAAATGAAGACAGGCAAGGCAAACCTACTGAGAAGTTTTCCTACACTTTGGTAACCCATTAGATGCCAACCAGAAGCTGCGTTGAACACCTTGAGTTTGAGATCTTTTCTGAAGAAAATTTTCATGCAGAGGGAATGGCTACGAGGACAAGGAATTCGAGGTCAGGATGGGGGTGAAGAATTGAAACAAAGCCCTGGTCTGATGTGTGATGTGTGTGTGTAAAATAAAGCCAGGCTGGACTTAGGCTCTGCTAGAACAGATTGTCACCTGTGTGGAAAGGGAGGGACACTGGGGAGCCGTTTCCACCTGGAAACAGCAAGAGATTCCTGAAGTGCCACTCATACCCCTCATTTTTCATGTGTACTCATTGATTTCTTCACTGATCAGGCAGCAGCTGTGTGCCAAACACCGTAGGGGAACTAAAAGGGATTAATTAATAAGCAGAGTGGCACTTTCCCAAAAGCGGCCATCTTGGAGCAAGCTGTCACATCTCAGCGGGAGGAGGTTCTGTGGAAACCCGGAGGGTGCCATTTTCACACTCCTGAGCAGATTCCTACAAGATTTCCTAGATCAAAGACAGCTTGGGGTTTATCTGGCAGAGGGAACAGCATAGTAAGGTTCAGAGGCACGTTCTGAGCAAGAGCAGGCGTTCTGAGGGGAGATGCTGTCAGAGGATATGTGAAAAGGTTTCAAAGCCATGCTGTGCCATTTCTCCTGTGACATGCTGGTTTCCAAAATACGTTCTCATGAGCAACAGTCCCACAGGAGTCTTTGAAATTCTGTGGTGTAAACGCTATATGATATCTCTCCTAGGTTTGGTATGGGAGGTAGCTCACGCCTGTCATCCCAGCACTTTGAGAGGCCAAGGCGAGAGGACTGCTTGAACTCAGCAGTTCGAGACTAGCCTGGGCAACGTAGTGAGACCCCACCCCTACAAAAAAATTTTTTTAATAGCTGGGTGTGGTGGTGCTTGCCTGCATTTCCAGCTACTTGGGAGGATGAGGCAGGAGGACCACATGAGCCAGGAGTTCCAGGCAGCAGTGAGCCGTGATCAGGACTCTACACTCCAGCGTGGACAACAGAGAAAGACCCTGACTCAAAATAATCGTAATAATAATAATATCTTTCCTTGTCCCTTGGACATTCAAAATACACATCAGCTCTTTAAAGACTCTATGAAGTCTCACACTAAAGAAGCCTCCTGGCCGGGCATGATGGCTCATGTCTGTAATGCCAGCACTTTGGGAGGTCGAGGCTGGTGGATCATGAGGTCAGGATATTGAGACCATCCTGGCCCCATCTCTACTAAAAATACAAAAATTAGCTGGGCGTGGTGCTGTGTGCCTGTAGTCTTAGCTACTCAGAAGGCTGAGGCAGGAGAATGGCTTGAACCCGGGAGGCAGAGGTTGCAGTGAGCCAAGATCGTGCCATTGCACTCCAGCCTGAGTGACAGAATGAGACTCCATCTCAAAAAAAAAAAAAAAAGAAAAAGAAAAAAAGGAAACCCCCTAAACTTATTCAACCCAGGGTTTCCCAAAATTGCTTGACAACAGAAATCTTGTTTCACATAATTACTTTGAAAAGCACTTTAAAAATTCATGGAGTTTTTGAGGGTGGGGATGTGGTAGCATAACCAGATCTGTGTTTTCTAGGGAAGTTGTCCCCTGAGGATGTCTACAAGGCGACCTTCTCTTGGGGCAGGTGACCTTCAGCAACTGATCTCAACAAAATGCCATCTCAGCCACCACTGCCCCTCCCTGGGCCCGTCAGGGGAGCCTCCAGGCAATTCTCCCCAGCTTTCCACCTTGTCCAGGTGAGTGCAGGTCAGATCATGTCATGGCCAAGCAACTGCTTGGATGGCCCCATCTCCCTCTGAACAAAGTCTAGCCCCTCCCCTTGTTTCCCGGCACTCTCTGCCCTTCTTGCCCAGTGCTATGGCTGCTCCCTCAGTCCTCAGTTGAAGCCACAGTCCCAGCTACCCCAACAGAAACCAAGTCCTGGCCCTATCTTCCCTCATCGCCTCCCTGGCTGGAAAAAAACAAAAAGAAGAATTCAAAAAGTTCCCTCCTTCTGCAGAAAAATGAGAGGGAGAGGAGGACAGAAGTGCCCCACCTTCAATGAATCTGGTCTCTGTGTCAGATGGCAACATATTCTAGAATCCCTGTACATTTGCATTTCGCTTTTGATGGCACCCTCAACCAGGAGGTTCTGTGAGACAGGAGTCCCGAAGAAGAGAGCTCAGAGAGGAGCCCAGGGGAGGGGGAGAAGCACTCATCTATTATGTATCCGTTTTTTTTGAGGTCACGTGAGTCCCATCTCCATGAATATGCAGGAAGCACACAGTCCATTCCTTAGTATCTGAAATGCAAACTGGAGTTGAAGACAAAGAACCCAGGAGGGGGCGTTGTAGGTAGACATTCACCAAATAAGCAACCTGAGATTCACCCACTGTCCTAAGCCCCAGAGCTCTAATTCCCAAAGGACTGTGCTGGTTTTTATCTGCAAATGGGAGTGAAACCACCTTTGCAGAAATTGTAACTCAGAAAATTGTGACAGTGAAAGAGATCTGACCTAACCAACTCCTTCTTGCTTCTAACCTCCAAGCTGTCCTTGTTCTTTCCTGGGCAGAGGCCAAACTAACTTTGGGAGGAACTTAGTTTATAGTTTAACTTTGAAACAAAGACCGTAACAGCCCTTTCCCAAAACAAATCCCCTTCTTGCTTGGGAACTAGACTACCTTTGCAGGACTAACAAATTAGCCACAAGATTAGAAATTACGGTTGAAGAGTCACACAGCTGGACGCTACAAGGTTCTAAACCTCCCCAGTTGCTCCTAAGGATGACATCACCATTGTAAAATCTAAGCTTGGAGCTTGAGATGTTTTTCAGACCCTGCCCTTGATGCATCAACTGGCGCCTCCCAGATCAATAAACTGGCTCATGTAGTCACGTGGCCCCCACCCGGGAACTGACTTAGTGCAAGACGACAGCTTCGACTCCCTATGATTTCATCTCCGACCTGACCAATCAGCACTACCCCTACTTCCCGACCGCCAACCCCCAAATTTTCAGGGAGACTGATTTGAGTAATAATAAAACTCCAGTCTCCCATACACCTGGCTCTACGTGAATTAAACTCTTTCTGTGTTGCAATTCCCATCTTAATAAATCGGCCATGTCCTGTCTAGGCATACAGGCAAGGAGAACCCGGAGGGTGGTTACAGGAGCCTCTGCAGGGCCACAGGGCAGGCAGTTGAGGTGAGGGAGAAGTGCGCCAGCATTCCCACTAGGTACAGGCTGTTCGAGAATTCACGATTCGGAGGAGCAGCTGGGCTGACGCCCTGGGTGGAGGTGAGGGTGGGTAGAGGCAAAGCCACATTTCCAGTGTGCGCCAAGTTGCACAGTGAGGGCTGCAGGGTCTTCCATATTGACAAGCTGTGAATCCTCACGAGGGATGCCCACCACTCTGGAACATCACTCCGCAGTTCGTTCCTCACTCTTTTCCCACAGGCTCCTTTCCCTCTGCCTTCAATCAGGCAGGGTCTCTTTAGACACACACACACACACACACACAGAGGCAGATACACAAAGACACACACAGACACAGATATACACAGAGACACACACGTACACACACACACACACAAAGGCAGACACACAAAGACACGCACACAGACACATATACGCACACACACATTCCCCACACCTCCTTTTCTAGCTACCTTCTAGACTTTTCCTTGTCTTTTGTGGACAAACTTGTTTAGTTGCTGGCATCTTAGCAGCAATTCCCTCTCTGATCTGTCACCAGGCTCCCACCTGGTGACACCGCATTGGCTTAGATGTTCCTGAAGGCAGTGATAACTTTTTTCTTGTCTATTCTGGTCTTCACCCTGTCCTGTCCGCTCAGGCTCTGTCACCCCTGAACCTCTCGGCCATCCCTGCACCTGCCTCGTGCCTCTGTCTCCCTCCTACTGGCCACCAGTCTGTCTTGCAGGGGTGATCTCGAATCTACCAGGCTTCTCTAGACGTCCTCTCTGTTCAGACTCATCTCTGAAGCTGGATGACAAGCAATGCAGCATCTGTCCCTGAGTCCTCAGGTCCTGGGAATGGACTGGGCAGGGGGACAACTAGGGAATAGGGTCAGGAGTGGGAGGAACCCGTGGCTCCCAATTCCAGACACTTCAACAGAACTGTCCTTTGTAAGACTTCTGGGCAGAGGCCAGGAGACTGCTGTGCTAGTCCCTCCATGGAGGGGGCGTGTCCTGGCTGGCTCTGTTGGGCCTGAGAGACTCCCCTACACACTGAGAGCACTGCTTATAGTAGGATCTGCCTTGCCAACAACTGCAAAGATCACCACTATTCCCTTCAGACTTCCCTTCAGCCTCCAGACTTCCTTAATGGCAAAGACTGGCCACATAAATCAGCCAGCAGGCCAGTCGGTCCTACTACAGAATAGCCTGACCCGATGAAGATGGGATGCAGGCGGGCTTCCAGGACAGGTGACCATGGGGCACGCGGGGAGAAGAGCTATCTGGGGCATAAAATTGCCTTTCTCAAGCCGACAGGCCTGTGAGACTGGTCTGCTGATGCCTGGCATTGGGGACTCGGCTGAAATGTTTGGTGTTCTACAGTGACAAGGCCCTGCTATGACATACTTAAAAGGCATCAGGAATTCTGTTCCAATGTCCCTTTGTTTCCTCTCCTGGCAGACTCATGCATTGCTTTAAATACTCTGCCTAGAGTCACCACTCATGCACATAAGCCTATTCTTGGGGCGTGTTTCTTTGGATTAGATTGTTTCTTCCCACGTCCAGGTTTGTTTTGGCTCTTCCTCTCCAGGTATGGCGGTGTCTCAGCCTTGTGACTGGGCAAAGCATCCCAGGTGGCTGCTGTCCCCTCCACCTGCTTGTGGGCATTGAGGGCAGAGCCTTTCTTTTGGGACTCAGCTTGACCGAGTGTGGGAGTCTATTTTGATCTTTTCTCCTTTTCATGGCCAGGATCAGAGCTAGGCACGCAGACGCCAGTGGAGCCTGCTTTCTCAAGGCAGCTCTCCTCCTGCTACATGAACGAATCATCCAGGCTTCTGTTCAGGGTCTTGGGAATTTGGCTTCCATGTCAGGGACGCCTGACACATGACACTCCTCCTTAAGTCTCATCGTTCCTTCTTCCAAGGGTGGAAAGATGCAAGGCTGGCTGGCAGCCGCTCTGAGGGGTGCCCTTTATGGCTGTCCATATTAATCTTATTTTGGTCCAATGCTTACTGCCAGGGAAGAAATCTGCTAATGGTACTTTTCTTTGTTGTATTTCAATCTGGCAACCGGAAACTGGCTTTTTAGGGGAGACTACAAAGGGCAAGGTATTGGTTCTGGTGCCCTCTGGTGGTTGAACTGCAGTCTCGTCGCCTGCCCCAGGAACTCCCCCACTGGCTGGAGAGAAGCATGAGTTTGCAGGTCGGCTCCGCTGCCTGGGTGGCTTTAGATCGGTCTGGAGTTGGTTAGGTTACGTTTCCAAATCTCCAGGTATAAAATTAGGCATTTTTTCCTTGTATAATTTCCAATCAGAAATTTGTTCAATGGTCCAGTTAGTATGTTGGTCTGTCTAGAAAATGGATTACTGGATGTCAAGACAGTCTTACTTGCCATACTTTGTAACCTGAAATTTTTGTACCCAACATTTGCCAAAAGATTGAGGTGGCTGAGGTACAGGGGATGTGCTTCCAGACATATTTATATCTCTGGCTCCCAAGAGAAATACGACATACTCCTGTTGTAAGGAACATACAACGAAGTAAAGTTGAATTAAAATGAGTAAGTCATGACAATTCTCTATTTTATTTGATGAGATTAAGACTAATTTCGCCTGAAATAGGACCATAACCTTTGACTTCATTGA